TCAACCTGTTCATGCCTTTGGTTCTTCATCTGATTAAAAGACAATAATCCACAGATTAAAAGGTATCAACCCCGAAAGGGGGATAAAATGAGAGTACAGAGAATCTAGTACAGCACTGTGTATACAGTAAGACCTTAATTAAAAGTAGCTATTGTTGGGGCTGAGGATATAGCTTAGTCAGTAGAGTGCTTGCCTCACATTCACAAGGCCGTGGGTTCAATCCTCAGTACCACCAAAAAAAAAAAAAATCATAGCTATGTTATTGTATTCATTAAGGTACCCTATTGGGTACCGTGAAGCCTAAGGGCCAGAAGTAAATGGATTAGGTAGTAGAACTTGACCATCAACTCTGAATACAGAAGTCTGAATCCACATGCTCAGTCTGATTCTCCGTTTCTAAGATGGCAGTTAGAAGCCAACAACCATATGCCCTCACTACATTGCATCAATTCATGCCTGGGGATTACTCAGTTTAGAGTTACCAAAGCCTGGATACAGAGCTTGACACCTTTAGAAAGAATCACCAGGGGCCAGGCATGGTGGCACATGGCTATAAATCCCAGCAACTAGGAAGACTGAGGCAGGAGGATTGCAAGTTTGAGTCCACTGTGGGCAACTTAGCAAGATCCTGTCTCAAAAGAAAAAAAATTAAAAGGGCTGGAGCACTTACCTAGCATGTGCTAGGCCCTGTGCTTAATCTCCAGTACTAAAGAAAAAAAAAAAAGAATCATGGGGAGGAAATGGCCCAACCAGGCAGCCTGAGTTTCTAAACTTAGGACTCACTGTTACCCTTTGTATTTTCATTGGAAGAAAACCTCTATTCAGCCTGAAGCTGGTATCATGAATCATTCAAAGGTGTGGTGTGATTTTGACTAGAAGCTGGACTAGAGGCTCTGAGCAGCTTTGGAAGCAGTTATACTCTTGTGGTTTGACTAACCTTTTTTATGAGTGTGTTACTAAAGAAACGTGAGCTGTTGGCTTTTCAATTACTGTAGCTTACCCCTTCAGAGTTTCATACACATTGAGTCATCGTGTCTACAGGTGACTGATAATCATCTGCACTGCTCAAGTTACGGTAACTCGTAGATGAGGGGATCCGATGATTGCAAGCTGCACGTGAAGATCTGAGCCCTCCCCTCTTAACAATGAACAATGGTCTGCATTAACCACAGAACTCAGTCATATATTTCCACTCATCCAGGGGGTTATTTTCCTCTTAATGTTTTGCCTCTTGCAGCTTCAGCACTCATCTCGTGTTCTGATATATGCCGCGGGTGGTATAGATTGTGAAATTGTAGGCCTGGGTAAAAAAAAGCAGACTCCTGGGAGAAAGGATGAAAATAGTTTGTGATACGCCCCACCCGGGAAACTTTCTGGAGCCTCTCTGTTAGGTGGGAAAAAAAAAGAGAGATTCAAGAGGAATCCTGGTATTTAGGGACTTTGGCAGAGCAGGCCACACTGGGAAATCATCAAAACTCTGAAAAGCTAAGAAACCAAAGTTCATCACTCTTGTGTCACTTTCAAGAGAATGAACGTTTGTGACTTCAGCTGGCTTTTGTGCTTGCAGTGTCTTTCTTCCAGTCAGCCTCAACAAAGGTACATCCAATCTGGGACTTGAAAATAGGAACCATTGTTTACTTTGGCAAAGGCATAATTTTCTGTCGCTTCTCATTGAGTTGTCAGGGTAGGGTACTTTTCTTCACATATTTTTTTCCCTCTTAGGTTTTTGTCTGGAAATTATCAGCTTGGCCTTAAGGTAGTGGGGATACAGGACAGATCCATTTGGTTCGAGTAGGTCTTTTAGCTGGCCTTTCTGGCTTCAATTTCTGGTCCATCTCTCACATTGCCCTATCAATGACCGTAGCCTCTCTCCCTCAAGGGCACGCAGCCATTTGTTGTTTGTTCACATCCACACCCTATGGTTGGTCACCCAGAACCCTATGGTTGGTCACCAGAACACCGGTCATTTGGTCCCGCCATATTTTGTTTTGTTGTTATTTTTCAATGTTTCCCAAAATATACAATATGGGGCTGGGGATGTGGCTCAAGCAGTAGCACGCTAGCCTGGCATGCGTGGGGCACTGGGTTAGATCCTCAGCACCACATAAAAATAAAATTAAGATGTTGTTCCCACCAAAAACTAAAAAAGAAATATTTAAAAAATCTCTCTCTCTCTCAAAAAAAAAAAAAAAAAATATATATATATATACACACACACACAATGTAAACTGACAAGAAGCTCACAGGGCATTTTAAAACCTTGATTGAGAAAATAATTCTCTTTTTAGATTTCTTTCAATCTCCAAGGAGATTGTTTATACCAAGGAGAATATTTAGATTTAATTAGATCCTATTTGTCTTTAATACTAATCTCTCACTTGGTACTTTCTGGGTTTTTGCTTTTTGTTTTGGCTTTTTTAAAAAGCCAAGAATTGAACCCAGGGGTATTTTATCACTGAGCCACATCCCAGCCCTTTTAATTTTTTATGTAGAGACAGGGCCTTGCTAAGTTGCTGAGGCTGGCTTTGAACTCTTGATCCTTGTGCCTCAGCCTCCCAAGGTGCTGGCATTAAAGGCAGGCACCAATGCACAGAGCCAGTAATCTCTGGTTTTTTTTTAATATTTATTTTTTTTGTTGTTGTAGTTGAACACAATATCTCCATTTCACTTTTTTTTATATGTGATGCTGAGGATCGAACTCAGGGTCCCGCACGTGCAAGGCAAGTGCTCTACCACTGAGCCACAACCCCAACCCAATCTCGGTTTTTAACCAAGAGAAAGGATCTTAGTGTCCAAGTATTCATAGTATCTAATCAAAATTTAATAAATTGCTCTTACATTGTCTTTGTTTTTCACAGTTACACCTGCTATTTTCAGCAAAGATTCTAGTTTTCCATTTGTTAGTAATATAAAGTTCCCTTTAATTTTTTTTTTTTTTACATTTTACTTATTTATTTATTTACTTAGGGTGGGTACTAGGGATTGAACTCAGGGGCACTTGACCACTGAGCCACATCCCAAGCCCTATTTTGGATTTTTAAATTTAGAGACAGGGTCTCACTGAGTTGCTTTATGCCTCGACTTTGCTGAGGCTGGCTTTGAACTCCGTCCGATCCTCCTGCCTCAGCCTCCCAAGCCACTGGGATTACAGGCATGCGCCACTGTGCCCAGCCCTTTACATTTTTTATAATAGAAAAAAGAAAGAAAAAACAAACTGTTTCAAACTTAAGGAAAAGGAAAAAAATATTTAAAACCCTGGCATTTACCAAGTGTCTTTTGTGTGCCAGTTGCTGTTCTCAGCACTTTCCAGTGATCCCAACAAGGTAGTTATGATCACTGTGTCCATTTCACACAAAACCATGTAAATAATAACTGATGGAGTTGGAATCAAACAGTCAATGCTACTCTGTGCAGTGTGTGAGGGGAAAGTGCAGTTTGAGAGATACTTTAATTTGCACTTCTTGCCATATCTTTAGCCAGACTCTCTCACTTTTCCCTCAGAGTGTCCTGAAGAGTGCCACCATCCTGCCTTCATTTCTGCTGTCCCCCAACTAGTATGTCCTCCCTTATCCCTCAGATAATCTAAATTCTACCAGTTCATCAAGACCCTTCTCAAAATTCAGATTTTCCAAGAATGCTTTCCCTCCCCGAAGTACTTTGGAAATTCTTACTGTCTTGACTTCACCTGTATGTTGCCTTTTAATCCTTGTTACAGAAGACATGTTACTCCTGTGCTTAAATGCCTTAACTGTGGCGTTTAGAATAAAATCAAATGTCTCCTAGAGCAAAGCAGCCCTTTCACAACTTTTTATCCTGTAATTTGTCTCCAATTTCATATATACATGTCTCATTTCTCTCCCACTACATTGGAAATGCCTTAAGAAAAGAAACTGTTTCTCCTGATCTTTTTGTTTTCTTCTGGTGTTACTTTCTTTCTTTCATTACTTAAGCCTTTTCTGTGTAATGACAAATTTTGGAACATCAACATGCCTAGAAATGGTACAGAAGAGAAGGAGAGGGCTCAGCAAATCTCTCTAGAACCCAACGTCAGCCAAGTGGCCTGAGCCCACCCCCTCTCATCCTCCATGCTCTCTCTTTCCTCTCCAGGCCACTTGTACCATCACATCCTCCTCTGCTACACACACGGTCCCTGCCTTCTCCATGACCAGAGAGCCTCTCTTTGTTTTCTAACACACAACACCCACATGCCCTGCGGGCAACTCACTCCATTTTTCAGAATTTCTCAGCAGTTTAACATGATTAGAAGTGGGAGAGGGTGACCACAACAAATAAATGTCTTCAGCTAAGTGTGAGATAGGTCCTAAGGATCCCATGTGTATCTAGGATACATCTTTCAAGTAAAGAAGAACAGCACATTTTAGTAAAGAGAGAAAGATGTGGTTCACTCCTTAAGAAGGCTTTTGTAGGACTGCCTGCATCTGAAGCTCTTTTACTTCAATCTGAGTCCAGTGGGTGGCTGGTGAATTAGGGAGTAGGAAGTTGGAGTCTTGGGGGCTATTTTCTCTGTCTCTGTAGATATTTTTAAAGCTACTGCAGCTGATCACTGAGAATCCCCTAACATTACAAACAGAAAAATAAGATAAATGAGAGTCTGGGAGTTGGGGGCACCTTACAACTTCACACAATGGAAGTTGAGCAGCCAAGCCCCTGCTCAATGGTCGCTCTCTCCCCTCTAAGCCTGTCATGGTGTCTTCACCCTCTTTTCCTCCTTTTCTTTCCAGTGGGCATTCCTCAGGATGCAGCCTCTGCCTGGTGACATCTCTGCCTCCTCCCTTTGCTCGCTGAGTTTATTTTGACTGTCCAAATGTGTAACTGGCAAACAGCATCCCTTGAGACTTCCACTCTCTGTGGAAACAAGCCACCAGGGCTGGGTGTTCTTGAACATACCTTTTCTCGTTTTTTGAGGACTCTGGAAAATAATGTCATCCCTGTCTGCCTTGGCTACATGCCCTTTGTAAGCCTCCTTTCCTTTGTTCCAGGTGAGAAGCGCCACTGTTTTGATGTCAATTATAATTCCAGCTACATGTATGAGAAGGAGAATGAGATGATACAGACCCGGATGATGGATCAAGCCATCAACAATGCTATCAGCTATCTTGGGGCTGAAGCCCTGCGCCCCTTAGTCCAGACACCACCTGCCCCCACCTCTGAGATGGTTCCAGTTATCAGCAGCATGTACCCCATAGCCCTCACCCGGGCTGAGATGCCAAATGGTGCCCCCCAAGAGTTGGAAAAGAAGAACATCCACCTGCCAGAGAAGAATCTGCCTTCTGAAAGAGGCCTCTCCCCCAACAATAGTGGCCATGACTCTACGGACACTGACAGCAACCACGAAGAACGCCAGAATCACATCTATCAACAAAATCACATGGTCCTTCCCCGGGCCCGCAGTGGGATGCCACTGCTGAAGGAGGTCCCCCGCTCTTATGAACTCCTCAAGCCCCCTCCCATCTGCCCAAGAGACTCCATCAAAGTGATCAACAAAGAAGGGGAGGTGATGGATGTGTTTCGGTGTGACCATTGCCGCGTCCTCTTCCTGGATTATGTGATGTTCACCATTCACATGGGTTGCCATGGCTTCCGTGACCCTTTTGAGTGTAACATGTGTGGATATCGAAGCCATGATCGATATGAGTTCTCGTCTCATATAGCGAGAGGAGAACACAGAGCCATGTTGAAATGAACATCAGTACAGAGATTGCACTAAGGATTCAATCTCATTTTTAAAAACTGATAACCCTACCCTAACAGGTTGCTCTCAGATCCACACTCCTTTCCACACCATTTTTAGTACGGTCATGTTTCACATGGATAGTCAGAGAAACCCTGTTTTCATTCAGACAGTGTCTGCAAATCTTCTTTTTACTTTTGTGAAACCTTTGTTTTACCATCAGTTGAATTTTAAGGAATTTAAAAGCCAAAGAAGTATTTTGTCATCATATTTTGCAGCAATAGAACAGGCCATCCGTTGAAGTCTGTTGCCAGTCAGAACAGTCCCTCAATTGTGCTGCAATAGATTCTTTCTGAGATATATCAGTCATATATTGAAAAGCCTTTTAATCCTTTGCCATGAAGAGGAAGAACTGACCAGCTGGCCTTGCCCTTCTGCTCTTAACACAAGACTGAAGGGTTAGGATATAATCTCCCCATCTCAAGTTATAGTCCAAGAGTAAGGAAAAGAACTGTTACCAGTAACTAAAGGCCCTGATCTCAGAGCATCAGACACATCTCCTATCACATAAGCAAATGGTCATTTGTTGACACTTTTGCTTCTTCCCTTTCTCCTCTTGTCACCAGTGAAAAGCTAAGCCACTTTAGGCTAATCCAGTTGTCTACTGGAGAAATTCTGTACCAAAAGAACTGATGGTTTTAAATATAAACATCATTTAAACTCCAGAAAGTTGTCCACTGAGGATGATGGCATCCATTTCCATTGATCAAGATTGGTGCAGCAGGGTCTGAAGTGAAATGGTTTAGCGCACCAACAGGGAAAAGAACCCAGCAGCTACCTAAAAGTTCATTTCCCTTCATGGAGCATTAGAGGACAGACCCAAAGCAAACTTGAAAATGATTTTTTTTTCCACACACCACAAAAACAAGGATCCAAAACATAAGGCTTGGCCTCCTCCTCCCCTCAGGAGGGGAGTCAGTGATGGACGCCATGTTGGTTATTTAGTTCAGAGCTGAACTTGGAGATGGGGTGAGCCGGGGCACCTCTATTGACAGTTTCTCCTTGATCAGGCAGGTGTAGACTCTCTTTTCCCCCATTTTAAATGGAGCCGCTGGTATTCCATGAAAATCCCTGAAAGTCTAATATAGCTTCTCCAGATTTATCAGTCATCTTTGTTGTGATTACTGGTCATCCAGCTATCGAAGAGAAGTGCTATGATAATTTGTAATACCAGCAGTGGACCAGGGGTCACCAAACCTGTTTACTAAACCCTGTATTTGCCACTAATTAGTTTGTAACTTTGAACAAATCATTTAACTCTTAAAACAAAGTTTTTTCAACCATAAAATAAGTTGGATTTAGATCTTCTCAATGGTCCCTTCCAGCTTAATTTATACATTATTATGCAGTAATCACAAATTATTCTTTAAACTTCTTAATATATGGGTATTAAGTAGAAAAGTCTGTATATGAAAATGTGTTTCAGATTTCTTGGGTATGAAAATGTTAGTGCATTAACTTTTTCCTTAAACCACCCCAGTTGTGAATGTGAAGAAATGGTGAGGAGAAACAAAAAACAGGAGAGTATTTTGATCTTGCCCAAAGTGTATACACAAATTGGCACCTGCAGCTTCTTGCCAAAGCCTTTCTTTCTTTCTTTTTTTTTCTTTTTCTTTTTTAAGAACTTGTGTTAGGGAAAATAAATTCTGCTTCCAGGGACAACTTCATGGAGCCTATTTACAAATTAAGAGCCAGCTTTATGAACATTTCTACCAGAGCCAAGAATTCCGAATTCCTGGTAGATTAGCGTTTTAATTTCTAAAGGGCTTCTGCATTCGGCTCTAACTCAACTCATTTATGTGCTGCCAGTAATTAAAATGTTCCACCTCAGACTGCACAAATGGCTTATCCTTCTTTGTAGCATGGCGTCTGTCTCAGGGGGAAAAAAGGGGTGGTTATGAAATTCCATGGCAACATTCCCAATACGTTTGAGCTTTCCGCTAAAGGGCTAGGTGTATTTTGGTGTGTAGTCTTCAGTACATTACTGTATTTCTGAGACACTCGGCTCCAAGCTCTGCCAGATCACATACACCCATTGTGAAAGAGGAGCTGCTTATTATATGCTTGAAATATCACACATCCTGTTGACTCTTTGGGGGACAAGAGAAGAGAATTGGGAAGCAGGGACTAGTAGGAAAGAAAGCTGAGGAAGGAAAGTATTCCCACCAAATGACTGTTCAGTCCTGCTGAAGAGACCAACTTTTGCATCTCAAGATGGTAAACTAAGGCCCATTCTACCAGCCTGGGGTCTCTACAGGTCTGACCCTCCTTTGTCCTATGACTAATGGACTCACTGAATGACTTGTATTCTTCTGAGTGGGGTGACACAAAGCCTGTACCTCCAAGGTAGCATCCTGAGCCTCAGTGGGTTCCCATTGACTCCAGAGAAAATGTGTATGTGAAGCTGCATGTTCTTAAGTCTTGAAGGTGAAACCAGTGGTATGCAGTGGTTACCACCACCCACGGAAACACTTCCTTCTTCACAAGCACTCCTTTTACTAACACCACCCTCACTGGGGTGAGGCTGAGGGGAGACGCCTGGAGAGAAGGGTCAGGATTGCTTCCACCGCTGTTGGGCAGTGAAGTCCTGGAGGCAGTTTCAGGAAGCACATCGGGTTTCTTAAGTAGAGGCCCTGAGCATGAGCTTAGTCTCTGTCCTTCCTTTCCTACTAGTCTCCTGTAGGTAGGCTCCCACCCCATATTAAGGAGGCCACAATCTGGGGACCAACCACACCAACAAAAAGCTCCCTTTGCAGCCAAGGTGCAGAGTTGAGGTGAGGATCGAAAGAACAGAACCGGATCTCCAAATGCTAACACAATTTGAAGTGTTGCACAGGCCCTTCCTCCTGGCAGAGAACTAAACAGAAGTGTCTCTCCCATCACCCTTCGCCACCACCACCAGAGGAGAGAAAAGTACCGATAAATCCACCCGTCTGTAGATACCTTAAGTCACTCTTCCAAGAAGTCATTGAGTGGCACTGATAAGCCAGCTAATCTTAGCTTTGCTATCCATTCTGAGCTGTTCCTGACTCAGCTTCTGACTTTACCAATGACAAAATTTCTTACCTTATAAATGGAGCACTTACCATTTTTCTAGGCCTATATTCACAGGGTCCCAGAAAGAAAATGACCTCAAATTTCTTTTGCAAAGGAAAATGTTTGAAAACACAAAAATCTTAACTAATTGAAACACCGTATTATTAACTGTTTTCCAAGTAGCATCTGTATGGCTATTCTCTTCCCTCCTCTGCTTCTTTGTCCCCTCTGTTGAAGATGAGATTTAAAGGTTTTAGGGGAAAAGCAGTTCTTTTGGCCTGGGATATAGCACAGTGGTAGACCACTTGCCTAGCAAGGTGCTGGGTTCCATCCCCAGCACAAAAATAGACAAAGCAAGCATATTTCTGAGACATATCTCAGAGCAGGCAGTAAGACCATCATGACAATGTTTCTCTGAAGGCCTAACTTTAAGCTGCACTCTACTGAGAGAAGGCATATGGATCTCTAGTAGAGCTTTGGAAATTCAGGGACACTTAAGATTTGTGAAAGAGCTTGGACATCTTTGAGGACTCAAAGACTCAGAATGAGGACTTGTGAGCTCAAGAAAAGAAAGGGGAGTGGTGAAAATTCTCTCCTAAAAAAATAGTATCAATAGCAGAAAAAGATAAGCACTATGAGTGATACCTCTTATCCCTCAAAGAACTGAAAACTATTCTTATGTTCATACAGAAAGTATAGTTCTGGAAATCTCTATAGACATAAGTAGGATGAGCAGAATGACTTGGGATTTAAGTGCCTAAAATGAGGACAAAGTCTAGACCTGAAACTAAAGGCTAGACCACTCTAGGAAATGGACTGTTTTGTAAGGTCACAGGATGGAATGGTCCCGAGTAGGAACAATGAACCGGGGGTTGAGTACTCCTGGCTCTAAGGACTGTGGACTTAGAATTCTGAGTCTAGAAGTTTTATTTCCAGAACTTGTGTGAGCTCAAAAAGTAACAAAAGCTGTAGATAGTCTGTACCCAGCCGTGCTATCAATAACAGGTTTTTGCACTTTGAAGAAATTTGATGCAAGTTCCCTCTGAATATTATAATAATGGACTATCTTATACATTGACATTGATTATGTTGTTATTTGAAATTGGAAATTAATGTTTTAATTAAAAATGTAAGGACACCACAATATCTACCTTTCAGAAGTGTTGTGAGGTTGATGTAATTTTGTCTATGGGTTAGTTCTACTTGTTTGTTTTGTTTTATTTTGTTTGGGACAGAGGGGTGGGGATGGGTTATGTTGGATGATTGTAAATTTTCTGCTATATGTACTAAGTCTGGATTTAAAGACATGAAAAATATCCCAAGACCCTACTAGAGCCATAATAGTAATCTCATTGCAAATGAAGGTAACTGATGTGTAACAGTTTCCTTCACATTGTTCTAGTGCATCAGAGTAGAGACTATGCTGAACCTTGGAACCAGTGTCAGTTAACCACATGCTATGGATGCTTCATGGTGATGCACCCAGGAAACTAGAATAGCTTTGCTCCCTCACTGTCTTTGAGCTTCAACTCCATTGACCCCACTCCAGGAAGCCTGGAGAGTGGCCCCACAGTGCCAGCCGCCTCTTTCCGAGCCCTTGCAATACATCCACAGGGCCTGTTTCATATTCTGAATTAAGTGTGGTTTTGCTGCTTTCCCTTCTGAAGAGACTGAGAACACACATTTTAACATGCTAGGAAAATGGGGCAGCCTTAAAAATGACTGATCCCATTGCTAATGACTCATTTTTAAAAGGACTTTTCCAGGTTAGCAGACAAGGCCCTACGTGGTGGGCCAGCTTCTGTGGGTTCACAGAAACCAAAGTACTGTGGGTTGCAAAGAATTAGCAGGTCATTTAAAAAGTAGACATGTCTTCACCCAGACTGTGGTTTTGCATGCTCAGGTTCTCAGTCTATGAGCTTTGGGGAAGGATCATTTTGGCTACTGGAAAAACCGTAGCTTATTTTAAATGTCTGGTTGCCAAAGCCACCACACGTGTGGTCTGTGCATGACCCTGGTCTGCAGAATGACGAGGAAGGAACACAGGAGGTTTGGGGCTCAGAGTGGCCTTACCGCCAGGAGCACGGCCGGGAGCCCTTGCATAGCAGTTTCCACTTGGCTTGTGCTCACAGCCTCTCCCTCCCATCTTTATTTCTCAGAAATGCCCCCTACCCAGTAGAAGCTTTTTTCCCTTCCTCTGGAGTTTTTCCCAGAATCCAACCATTTGGAGCACTGTAAAGTGCCCCCTCCTCTGTAAAGACTGTCCACAGGGGCTGGGGTCATGGCTCAGTGGTAGAGTGCTTGCCTAGCATGCATGAGGCACTGGGTTTGATCCTCAGCACCACATAAAAATGAAAAATAAAGATATTGTTTCCACCTAAAACTAAAAAATAAATATTAAAAAAAGGACTGTCCAAAGCCTGCTTTGAGCTAGCCATGCTGATCTCAGCAGAACATGAGTGCAACATCGCGTATGAAACAGCCCTGCTGTGCTGTCAATGTTTCTTTACCGTGTTCAATTTTTACACTGAAAAAATAAAAAAAAATTCTGGTGTGTTTAAAATTAATCCTGGTGCATGCCTGTCATTTGTGGGTGCTGCTGTCAGAAAATGGAAGGGTTTCATTCTGCCCCAAGGAATATTTTTTTAATTTAGCCCCTCTGGCTATTTCTCTCTTCCCTTTTTTTTTTTTTTTTTGGCCCTAATGGGGATCAAACACAGGGTCTCACACATGCTAGGCAAAAGCTCTAACTACTGAGTTATACCATGAGCCCTCCTCTGGCTATTTCTTAAAGTCCAGGTATCAAGATGAATGGGATTATAACGGAAATAAACCATCTCCCCTGAGGACTTGCTAAACTGCACTTGGTGTCCTGCTCTGGCACTAGACCCCATGGTAGAGTTCTGGTTCTACTGGTCCTTAGCTGGGGAAGGGAACTCAAGGAGGCTGGGGGCCCTGAACTTGGCAGGATCAATGCACTGAAAGCACAGTGTCTTTCTGTGCTACTTGATGCCCCTCCTGTTCTCCCTCAACAGAGCGTCTTCCTAACACTAGCCAAGTCCTGGCCTTTTCATCTGTTAGATCTCATAACATTTCCACATTGGGAAATTCAATTTGCAGTCATTAAACTCAGCCACATTAAATACAGTCTATAAGCCAGGGATGGTGTGCATGCCTGAAGTCCCAGCTCCCTGGGAGGCTGAAGCAGGAGGATTGCTTGAGCCCAGGAGTTCAGATCAGCCTGGGCAACATGTGAGAAGAACCTGTCTCAAAAAATGATAAGTCTATAGGTACTTGGAGGACCAAACCTAAGGTGTTGAGAGAAAATTCCTGGGAGAGTGGCATAAGATCAGGCTCTCTTCCTGTCTTGTTCTCTTAGACAATATTTAAGAAGGGTTTGAGAGATGATCCCGCCTTCTGCCCAGCCTCATCTAAACTATCCCCACCCCGCTTGCCCTCATCTGTAGAAGAGGCAGAAGAATGACCTTTTGGAGCTTGGGACCTTCTGGAGTTTGGGATCAGTAAGCCAGGTTGGTGGCAGCATGCCCTGGCTCTGCGTGCAGTACCATCTCCCTCCCTTCTGCTTTGAGGAACTCCAGCAGGTTTTCCCTCCCCACTCCACACCAAGGACAGGGAGAGGGGAATGGCAGAGCAGCCTGCCTTTGTATTTTAACATTAAATAATTCAAATCAGCCTCTCCCTTGCTGATTGTCAGCCTCAGAGAGAATGGTAAGTGGACTTCCCCAGCCCCACTCCCTTCCCCAGGCAAAAGCGGCTCAGGGAGAAAAGGAAGACAGGGAGGCCTTGATCCCTTTTGCCAAGGAACAGGGGAGAGACCCTGATTCCTTCCAGCCTGAGGAGAGTTTTCTTTCCTAATTCTTGGGAACCAGTTTGTTGCTTTAGGAGGTGGTGAGCCGCCTGGCAGGGGAAGCCACCCCACACCTGCAGCCTCCTTCTCCTCCACCCCCATCCCTCAACACCCCAGGTCACTCATGCTGCCAGGGCCAAACCTCCACCTGCAGGCAACTGCCACCCAAAGACAGGCAGGGGAAAGGACCAAGCTCCCTACCCTTTTCCCTATTTCTTAGAATCCAAGGTCTGAGGAAGAGTGGAGGCCAGAGCTCTGGAAAGACCAGAGCTTGGAACTTTCTGGAGTTTGTGGATGGCCCAGGCCAGAAGTTCTAGCTGTGGAGCATTCCCAGGTCAGACAGTTGTTTGCATAAAAGCCAAAAGCCACTGCACCTGGGGTGGGGAGGCCCTCTGGGGAGGTACTCCCTGACTTGGGGCAGAGGGGAAGGAAGGTGTCATGGAAAGTCCCTGAAGGACATGGGGTGTTGAGTTTGCTGTGGTTTTGTTTTTAACTCTATCTTGACCTGTGAAGTAGGCAGCTGTCTCCCTGCCCCCAAAATAACAGACCTTCCCCCAGAATAACATGCACATACCCAAGGAGAGAGCACTGCAGTGGAAAGAATGGAGGTTAGAGGGCCTGTGGGTGATGTAACCTGCCCCCCTGCTCTGGGAGTGAGGGGGCAGGAAGCCCCAGAACAGCCCTTTCCCATCACCTCACCTCCCTTCTCAGCCCCCCAGCCCCTGGGGCCAGAAGAGCTGCCTAGTCAAATAAACCACAGCCCTGGGGTGGCTGGTGGATGGGAACCAGGGGGGTAGGTGCCACCTCCTCCCCCAGGCTTGTCCTGCCACTAGCACAATTCCAATCCCACCCCCACTGGAATTACATTCTCAGCCTCCCCACACAGACTCCTGGGGAGGGGTAAATACAGAGTGAATCCACCAACACTCTGAAGTCCCCAGCAAGATAGCCTGTTGCAGGCTCCTGTGAGTACCTGAGCTACTGGGTTCCAATCTCAGCCTTGCTGCTCTCTGGTTGCCCAGAACACTTTGCTTTTCCTCTTTGGGCATCCTGGTAGTCAGAGGTCTTTTAAAGACCTTTCAGGTGGGACTCTAAACTCAGCCTCAACCTCATTGCTCTCCCTGGCTCCAGAACTTCCTGCGAACTCCAGAAATCAGACCAAAGCGCCTGAGGATTTGTTCCCTCTCCCTTCTCTGCCCACCAGCCTCAGAACCTGGGAAACCGGTGCCGCGATGTTGCTGGTGGTGGCGGCCTGTGATTTTCTTAAGAGGTCACTTTCTCAACTGTACTATGAAATTCCAATCCTGGCCTAGGGGTGGGGGACAGAGAGGTATCAGGCTCCTGTCCCCTCACCTGTGGAATTGTAGGAAGCTCTGCAGAGTCCAGCACCCTTTCCAGGATTCTTTTGATTCCCCGTGGACCAGACGCAGATTCCCGGGTTGGGGGTCTGGGAGAGGAAAGCACAGCGGGGCGAAGGGGGAAGGGGTGCGACGCGAGGTGGGAGCAGAGGGGGTGTGAGGGGCGGGGCAGCTGCACTTCTGAGAAACAGCTCGGGCGTCTCAGCAGCCCGCAGCCTAACCCCCGGCCTGCGGCTTCACAGCTCGCTCCTGCTGACGCCCACGCTGCTCAGGGCCTCTCCGGGGGTCTGCAGCCCCGGCGGGGGCGGTGGCTGCGAGGGAGGAGCGGCAGCTGGGGGGGGGGGACAGCGCGGCGGAACCCAGGGGCGTGGAAAACCGAGGAAGGCGTGGGTCGCGTGACATCCCGGGGGTTCCGAGCGCTGGACCTGGCCTGCCTGCGTGTCCCCCCGCTGCCCCTGGCCAGGTACTCTCCATCACCACCGGAGCGGGATCCAGAAGTGAAAGCACTCGGGGTCACAGCCCAGCGCCGCTGCTGCGCCCCGCGCCGCCCCGCCCTTCCTGCAGCAGGGCAGGATCTCCCGGCGCTCCGGCGAGTGCAGGGGAGGAAACGGGGGAGGGGAAGGGGAAGTGACCCGCGGGCAGCCGCTGCAAAGCGCGGCCTCTCCTGGGGGTGCCCGCTCCTAACCACCACCGGGAACCTCGGGAGGCCGGCGCCAGCGCCCGGAGCGGAGGACGCCGCGCCCGCACTTCACCACACGGCCGCTGGGTGTCACTGCAGCCGCGCGGCTGGGCCAGCTCCGGAGCCGTCGAGGGCGGGGCGCGGGGAGCTGCCTGGCGAGGCTGGGGGTGGTGCCACACTTCCCCCCACCACCTGGTGTCTAGGGGCCAGCCCTCCATCCCGCGAGGGAAAGGGCTGCCTTCCGCACCGCGATAGGTTCGTGGCTGTGGCCCACGCGAGCCCCCTCAGGCCGTCCGAAGGACCGACGGACCTTAGCAGGGCCCTTGCCCCGCAGAGCTCTAAACAGCGCGGGGCGTGAGCCGGAGCATCCGCGTTCCGACCGTTTTTGCGAACAGAAGGTGGAGGCAGATTGCTTTGCGCACGTGCTCGGGAAGCTGAAGGGATGAGTGCGCAGGTGCGTCCTCCCCCCTACTCCAGCCTTACCTGATGGGTCATTCCTTTCGCCCCCTACTCACCAAGCTATCCCTTAGATTTGTGGGGCCGGTAACTCAGCTTAGGACGAGGGAACTCGCAGATGAGGGACCTGTATAGGGACTGATGGGTGTAAGAGGGCAGGGGTGGGCAAAGGCTAAGGAAAGAGGAGAACATTGGAATCCTTTGAAACTTTGGGATAGGGCCCAACAGGAATCCCACTTCTGCTTTGTCCTGGAAGATCTGACCCAGGCCATGGAAATGGGTTAAATGTGGACGTACACCGCCATTGGCCACCACCCATATGTGGAGTGCAGGCAACCTTCTATATCCCTACATACAACTTCCTCTCTGACTTCATGGCCACAGGGCCCATTTTCACTACTGACATTCTAAGGGGATCCATGGTGGTCCTAAGAGGGTGGATTCAGCCTTATCCCGACCATTCCAGATAAATCCAATCCAAGGAAGAACAGACTGCCTACCACAACAACACATCTCCAATTAACCCTCCCCACCAAGTGCCCAACAAAGAATAACTTGTTCCTTTCTTGGGGTAGATGCAGTCCTGCAAGGTGCCACCATAGTTCAACCAATAGGGGTGAATTTCAGACCCCATTAGGGTCTAGTAGAGCACGGGACCTACAGAGCCCAGGTGGCACCCTCACTTTTCCAAACCCCCTTCTTGTATGGAAGATCACCTATTTCTTGAGTTGTAGAGTCCAGTCTGCATCATCCAACTCCCCCAAGATCCACTTCCCTTTTTTTTAACCTCCTCTCCCAACTCCCCACCTCAGCTTGGCCACTGTGCAAGACCCCAGAGCTGGGTGTCTGCAGACAGCACAGGACAGGAAAGCAGTCTTGGCCCCAGACCCCTGCCAGTGCACCCTGATCTTCCTTGAACCTGTCTTTTTTCTTTCTTTTTTTTTTTTTTTAATATGAGTGACGCATCTGTAGTCACAGAAGAAGTTAGGGACAGAGTCTCCCACAGCCTCCAGATAGGACCTCTGATAGAGGCCCATGGTGCTGCCAGGGATGGCCATGTTCCTGACTCTAGGCTCACACGAACACACTAGTTCCAAGAAGTTGGTGTCTCTGAGGCACTACAGGTCACTTAGGGCAAGCTCCCTGGATGTGGGCCCTGCATTACCCTCTTTCAATACCTGGCTCCTCCAAGCATGGGGAGATGTT